CCTTACTATAATCAGGTCTATAGCCGATTGCGTTGTAAACCTAATGCTAATAAGTTTAAAATATCAAAAATTCGTTCTAAATACAACACTTAGCCCTTTCCACTCGGATGCCGACGCTCCGCAATTCGCGAGTGGAAAGGGTAAACTCTTTAGTTGCAAGAGTGTTTTTCGCAGGAGTAACACTGCTGTACGAGTCAGCATGCCGCCCAAGTATTTGTTACACATAATATTTTAAGATTTCCCAATCATTATAATGATTATAGTGTTATAATGATATATCATTATAACACTTCCCAAAAACTAAGAGCCACTATAATAATTATTTAATTATTAGTTAATTAAGTAGGAATAATCAATAGATTAACTCAGAGTAATAAATATTGGAAGGAATGGTCGATGTCGTCTTAAGTCGATTTTTGTAGCAAACTGGTTAATTATGAATATATAAATTAAATTGTCTATTAAATATCTCAACAACGATTTAAAAATATTTATCTCATATTCAGAAGTTTATTTCATAAATAATTTGTTATATTTAACAATCTATTTTTATAAATTGTGAACACAAGTTTTTAATTATTCATAGTTTGTTCGAATTATTGTCTATTTTAAATTAATAATCATCTACTTAGCCAACAAATGCAGAGTTAAAACATTTTTATTAAATAAATACAATCAAAAAATAAAAATCTACGAACTTTATACATTTAATATCTACACGTTCTATGCATATGTAAATAGATACACAAATGGTGTGAGTTCATTTGCATTTTAAAAATTATTTTGTAAAATCGTTAAAAACCCTTAACAATTAATTTAAAATAGATAATATATTATATATAAAATGTGATGAACAATTTCAATAAATATATTTTGTGTATATATTTACATATGTATAACAATTCAATAACAAAAAACCTTTAAAAACAAGTAATTAAACATTTTCTTAATAATCGACTATATACAAAAACGATTTCACTAAAAGAAAAACTCACTAATGTGACCATTTGTAATTCATTCGTTGGTTCATGATCACATGCCAGTAGATGTCTCGGATATAGTCTCATTTTTTGGATGATTTCATACTAATTCTTGGAACTTGTGTATAAATCATCTGTGTGAAATAAATAGTATTAGAATATGTAAGATGAATGAATAAATCACTTATCAAAGATATTCAAAACATTACTTTGCAACTTACTTATTTTCACACTACATTTCACCACATTTATTGAGCGATTGTACTGCGATTTTACTAATTTTAGATTAAATTAAGCTTGATTTTCATAGGTTTTACTATATTTTTTATTTTATTAGGGCTTTGTTCAATTCTCAAACCGTGTTAGAGCGAACCCATGTTTTAAAAGAACCGTGGTATAAGGGGGATGATCTTAATTCTTAAACTGTATTAGAAAGTATTATTTCTGTTTTCACTTACCATGTTCTAGTGGAGTGTTGGACTTCTGTCTTATTTCAAGTGACAATCACAAAAGCATCGCATAGGGGTCCTCCAGGTTACGTTTGAAGGCCTGCAACCACCTGGCCCCCGTCGCACCATCAATCACACGGTGGTCGCAGCTCAGAGTCACCTCTACAATGGTGTCTTCACGGAAACTGGACACAAAATTAACAATTAAATATTATATATATATATATATATATATATATATATATATATTATAACATATATGCTTACCCTTTTTCTGATTCTTTATCTAGCACCAAACGTGATTGCGTCGTGCCAATAGCTAATATTGCAGATTGTGGAGGATTTATGATTGCACTGAAATTCGTTGTATCTAAAAAGAGTACATTAAATGAGCATTCTGTTTTGCAGCTTTAGTTATTAAACTATTATTTCTATCCCTTACCAAACATTCCTAAATTAGATACACTTATGGAACCTCCTTGGAACTCATGAGGTTGCAGTCTACCTTCCCTCGCTTTACTTGCCAAAGCTTTCAATTCTTGTGAAATTGTTACTAAACCTTTTTATCGGCTTGGAAAATAATTGGAGTGAATAGACCTTTGTCTGTTGCTACTGCTACTGATATATCGCAATTCTGGAATCTAAAAGAATAAATAATCAATCTTTGCTGATAAACCACTAAATTAAGAAAAATAATAAATGAATAGTCAGGTAACAAAGAACTGAATTAGGTACAACTACAATGCAAACTATTAAAATGAAATTAAATTACAGAATAAAATTTGGAGCTTTTTAGAAAACTGAATTTTGGTATTTATTAATATATTTTTCTTTGATCTCCTTGCATCTGCACGTTATTTATAAAACATTTTAGAAACCATGAATATGTGGCATATAATAATATATCATTTATTCATTCATTATTTATTCATCATTTATACTAATATATTATTATTATTATTATTATATATATATATATATATATATATATATATAATATACTAAAATATATCATTCTTTTCTAAAGTGCCAATAATAATTAGGAGATCTTAAAACATAAAGGAATAACTATTTTCGTACAGCTAAAGACTAAAAAACATTAACCCGACAAATATATTTTACTACTTACTCTCTAATTGTATCTCCCATCCAATAACTATTAACTTCTGGAACAGCCCTGCAAGCCATGGCTGTGGCTTTGAGCATAAAATCGTTCAACGATAATCTCACTTTATCTTTTTTGAGTTGTTCATTCAATTTTTCCCTTATGGCTAGAACTTTTGTTGCATTTATCTCCATTGTTAAATAGTAATGAGGAATTGTGGTTTTGGATTGCAATAAACGTTTGGCAATAACCGCTCTGACATTGGAAACTGGTATGTCCAGGTAGCTTGAAGGTTGGCCTGGTACTGAAGGCTTTACACGAGCAGGACTCTGAGGGAAAATAAATTTTTGTTAAGGAAACATTTCGTGAGGTAATTATGTGATAAACAATTTAGCTTGAAGAATTGTATAGTTTGCTAAAATATAAGTTTATTATACTATGATATATAGCTCTTTTAATTATTATTGCATAAATTCCAATAACAAAGTATTCATGTTGTTAAAACTTTTGTAAAATTTCAATTATATATATATATATATATATATATTACATACATACATATATATACATTATAATGTATATAAAAAAAATTTAAAAAACCTATAAAACCGCCAGTTGGCCTTACAAAAAGAAAAATGGACTTTGTATATATTAATGAAGACAACCATTTTTATACAACGTTTTTGCCCTTTCATTTTTATGAAAAATTCAAAATAATTTTTGCTGTTGTATCTTTGCATTTGCAATATAATTTGCTTCAATCTATGGTTAGTTTTTCATTAACAATTCAAAATTAAAAAAATTTAAACTTGCAAATTGATATAGTTTATGGATCTAATATTTCTATTATCACCTTAGATCTGGACCGGGACCTGCCCCGAGCTGGTGATCCGGCTCTAGCTGGTGGAGCAGCAACCCCAGCAGACTGTTGTGCCAATCCTGGTAAATCCTTTGATGTTATTGACCCATACATTCCAGAACCGCTTCCTATCGACATAGAAGAGGAACAAATGATGCGTGCAGGAAGAGATGTTATTGATATATGTAGATTTATATAGTTACAAGATATTTCGGAAGCCAGAAATATATATTTTGATATCCATGAGATAATACATTGTCCAAATAAATATTTAAAAAAATATAAAGCAATTTTATCAGTTTTAAAAACATGCAACACAGAAATAGACAAATCACTGAGAACTATCAAACCAGACAAATAAATAATTTGGTATGTGTTCATTCAAATGCCATATATAATAAAGCAGATTTTAAATAATCCTGTGAATATTTCATCCTATTATCTCATAAATATATATTTAACAGTACACACGATCACAATCATTAAGCACATTTGTCCCTCTTAAGTCGATGGAATGCAATTCATAACATTTTGTACAATTTTATATTAAAATCTACTCAAATTATATCAAATTCAATGTGTATAACAGATATTAATAAATAAATCAATTTGAATTTGTTAAAATTAAAAAAAACTAATATCTTTGCTTGTTAGAAGATTCATATTTGCTGTACCTTGCGCTGGTAATTTTCCTTCTCGCTTCAGTCGAGCTGAAAATCAAAATTTACATTGAAATATTCAAAAATTGCACTCCATCCAGAAAAAAGGGGATACAGATCGAAGTTATTCCTATCTTAAATACTTATATTTTATGAATTTGGAATAAATTGAACATAGTAAATGTATATTTGTTTAAAATAAAACAATATTTAAAGGTCTTGCATCCTGAAGAAGTTATTGTTCCAATTTGGTCTTTATGTAAGAATTTAGAATAGAATAATATCATATAAGTATTTAAAATTAATTTAAAGTGTTAAATATATAAATATTTAAAATAAGAAACCATGACAAATAAAAATAAAGATATTAATTAGTATCTATAATAATGTAACATAAAGATTTCACTAGACAAAAGGTCAGTGAGCTCAATATATTTTTCGAACTATAAAGAATGTGTAACTATTCTTTTAGTCATATATATAGTGTACACATATATACATATAATTGTAAACAAAAATGTTTTTTAAACAGCCATCCATTCAATGTTTTGTTTAAACAGGCAACAATCAATTGTTAGTTCTATTTCATAGCTCAGCATGGTTGCTGTTAAATGATAAATGTTAAATATAACCATCATTAATTTTGATTAAAATTTTCAAATCACAATTCTTATTCATAAACATGACTGTTATACAAGTTTTTGGTTCATTATGCGTGGCTTTTCTTGGATAATTTGTATTGATTATGTACAGAAGAAATAAGAGTAAAACTAGAATACGAAATGTCTCGAATATTTTCAACAATTTTTTTTATAAAAAATCAGTTTTGTTTTTAATGACTGGATAGATGCCTGTGTACAAACATTTCTGGTTTACAATTATAATAATTTGGTTTAGATAACAATTTATTGAAAATATAATACCTTGCAATCTGATATTCTGCTGCTCAGCTAATCTCTTGGCCATAGGACTGGCATATACTCTGCCTGGTTTCATTCCAGTGGCTGGTGGGAGAGTGGGCGCTGGTGCAGCAGGCGCTACTGGCGCTGGCGCTGCAGGAGGTGGAGATACTGGCGCTGGAGCAGCCGGTGCTGGTGCTGGAGCTGGAGCTGCAGCTTTTGGTGGAGCAGCAGCTGACTCATCTACACGTAGGAAAATATGCAATTTTACATGGTTTTACAAATTCTAATTAGTTTACCGGTTTTATTGTAAAGAATGTGATAAAGAAGATTATCCCAGAAAAAATAAACGAATCTGTTATTAATTAAACATTTATTCTAACCTAATTTATAATCCTTGAATGCGGCAATTTTATCTTCACTGTCGACGATGATGCAAACTAATTTTCCGATAGCCACGTCTTTTGTTCCTGCTGGAACTATAATTTTTGCTAAATATCCTTCTTCTGGTGTTTCAAATCCCATGGTCGCTTTGTCCGTTTCAATTTCAGCCAGTAAGTCACCTGGTAAATAAAAACAAAATAATATTTCATATTAAATTAATAGATAATAGAAATTATAATCAAATAATAGATCATGGTATTTTTCAGTAAAAACATAAAAATACTAAATAAAAAAATAAATTATTTGTAAGTTCCATTTTGTTTTGCTAAAATAATCAATTTAATATTTATTAACATTATTATTAGGGATTATTCAGTTTAGTACAAATTTATGAAAAGCGCTTGATTTTCGGTTTCAAAAATAGTTTAAATTTTATAAATTTTAAAGAAACAAAGTATGTTTTTATAAAGAAAAACAAGCATCATACCGAATTTATAATTAAACCACTATTCGTAGACGTACAAATACTTTACTATTTTATGTAAAACCATGATCTATGAGCTCTGAAAATTTGCAAATTTTTATATAATTTTATTTAATTTAGATATTATCCAGAATTTCCTATTTCATTTTACTTCTATTAATATAATCATATCTACGTATAATTCTTTATCGTAAGTTAATTATTCAGATTGATGTATTTTATTTATTTATTTGTTTGTTTATTCATTCATAAACAAACCGTAATCAATAACATAATAAATATGATTCCAAGTCCTTGTCTTTCATGGTTCATCAACCGCTAATGAATAAAAATAAATGTAAATCTAGTATCTAGTATTACAATTTTTGAGAGTTAATACTTTTCAATATATTTGTAAAATTTCCAAAATTATTCATTTTAGTAAGTTTATTTCAATCGATAAAAAAATTTATTCATGAAGTTTTTTTATTTATACTGTAACCAAAATTATAACATTATTTGTATTATAATATACAATGTAAAATATTAATATAAATATATATAAAAATGTTAAATGCATAAAACTATAATCGATAATACTAAGATATCACTTGAAGATATTTAACGTCTTCGAATTTTGGCCGTAATCCCATTTTTGTTTGATTCAAAAACTCTTGCAACATATCAGCTAAAATTCTTCTTTTGAACCGAAGAGCTTCTTGAATAATTCCTTCTAGTAATGCGCAACGTAGAAACAAATCCCCTTGCAGATCATCAAGATGGTCAAATAAAGGAGCAAAATTTCGGCCAGGTTTACGAATTTCTTTGTATACTTTTTTTCGAACGGCCATATTGTGGTCTTTTATTGCTAAAGCTTTTTCTCGTCTCTTGCTGAGTTTCTTCTTTTTCTTTGGCTTTATTTCGGTATTATTAGTTTCATTTTTATTTAACTTTATTTCGGCAGTATTAGTTTCATTTTTATTCAGCTTTATTTCGATAGTATTAGTTTCGTTTTGATTCAATTGCGCTTGAAGAATTGCAAGGATTTCTTGTTCTTGGTTAGAGAAACGGGAGTTATTTGATCTTAATAAGGTTTCTCTGAAATCTTCTATCAAATTATTGAAATTGATGGTTCGCAGCGGAGAACGTGGTAATTGCACTTGGTTAGGCTCTCTATTTTTATCATATTGAACAACGTCCATTACGAGAGGTTCACCGCGTCTATGAATATTCCTCAGACCTTCCGAGCCATGTCTTCTAAATTCCTGATCCCCGTACTTGTAATCTTTAGGCAGAGGACCTACCTTCTTTCTTGGAGGCATTCGCAGATCAAATATCAATGATCGTTTCGTGGGTCTTGCCGAAGAAGACGCTAAATCAAAATCAGCTTCATCGACAATCATTCGCCTATCAGCTTTAAATGGGTTTCCAAAGCAATTCGTTCTAACAAATGTATTTTCTACTTCTCTTAATGGTGCAACTATTTTTTTAAGATGCTCATTATAATTCGACATGTACCCAATTGGTACTGAATGCAAGGTATCCTCATCTATAACTTCAGTTTGTGATACCGAGTTCTGCAAAAAATTAGCCCTCATACGTTTAACTTGATCGACCAGAACATTTCTGGATATATTAAAAGGATTTTTAAAACTGCGACTAGTTTTTTGATCGCTTCGAGTTAAATTAACGGTAAATGTATTGAAGTCATGCATTTTTTCTCTCAATTTTCCATATGAATCTTTCAATAACGGATGTGATGTTAAGCTTTTGTCAAATTGCGAGCGTGCCACCACTTTCACTAGATCTTTGGTTTTACTTTGTTGTTTAGGATCGGTACATAATTTATTAAATTCAATTTTGGCTAATGTTTTCACTCGTTGAAGATAATTGAACACCAATTCACTAATCGAATTCTCCAAAAACTCAGGAATAAGAATATTTGCTATTTTCGGTGTCGCACCCATTTTTTCTAAAGCTTTCTTTAAATACGACGCGTAATAAAGGGGCATGCTTTTTAAATAATCATCAAATTGGCTTTTCCAGACGGCATTTGGACACTGCTTGTGAACTGAAAAAAAATCTTTAAGCAAAGGAACAATCACTGGATAATTATAAGGCAAAACAAACATATTCACACAAGTTAACGTGGTATTTGCCTTTAAATATCCAAAAGGAGCATCTGTTTCACAACCTTTAGAACTGTTTTCTATAAAAATTTGCCAGCATACATTTGGATTTCTCTTTTCTAATATGTACTGTGTCAAAGGACTCGGCTCCATTTCATATTTATCAAAAGGTAAATTTTCTATGACCAGAGGTACTTGATCCGCGCAAAAAAATTTTACTACAGGATGTGCCGATCTAGAAGGAAGCACTATTGCATCCACATCAGGCCAGAAGGACTCAGGTATAGGCCAATTTCCAAAGCATCTGCTTATAGCTCTGGGAACATATATCATTTTCCTGCAGGAATGCCAGGCTATCAAACTTTTACTCCCGTCTCCAGGTTTAACGGCATAGATATCGGAACTTTGACTATAATCTATTCTGGGGCAATCGCGACCCATCAGCTCAAAATTAATAATAACGCCTGGTTGAAGTTTTTGCACCAAACTTTCAATGCATTGCATCAATATACGATGGGAAGTGACACGATAAGAACGACCACCAGTAACTTCACACATGGCATTAATTGGGGAATAGTCACTAGCAACTAATCCGGGGTCCCTGTCCACGGCTGGAGTGCCACGAAGACGTAGAACCAGAGCAAATAGTCTTTGGTCCCAGCGGAAGGGTTCGCGTGTCAACTCAGATCCTGGTACAGCAAAATTCATAGGTAAGTTGAATTCGTTATGTACTCCTAAGGTGGTAGAAGTTTTTCCACCGTCGGTTATCAAAAGTACGATGGAAGGCTCTAGAAGACAAGGACTCCGACCTTGGCCGTAAGTGTCAATTCCTGTTTGCCAGCGGTAAATGTTGAGCAAATCAAAGGCATGTTTCAAAGCGGTTCCAGTGTTGGTCATCCCATGGCATTGTAAGTTCTTAAGTTCGTGGGAAAAGCTAGTGGCTGCTCCTTTCCAGCCTACTTTTATATTGTAAGGAGGATCTTCAAAAGTTAAAAGCATGTGTTTGTCAAAACGGCTGTCTGGATATTTTTGACGCATTTTCACAAACATTTCAACTGTCATTTTTGCTATATCCAAGAACGTATGAGGGCCTGCTAGGGAGGCTCTCTGGTTCATAGAAGCCGATGTGTCGACCAGAAAAATGATAATAGTCATGTTGCACAAATAACACAAATCACTTCACTTTATAATTGATTGGTAAAATACCGAATGTCAAATTTATCGGTGCACTACTGTTTTGTTATATCACTAAGCAACTGCCGAAATTGGCGAGCAGTGTCCTGCACCGACACACGTCTACAACCGCGCGGGCCGAGCGAACGCGAGCGAATGAGGAGCGGCGAAACAAACACAAGAAGATATATGCGCAAAGAACGGTTCGGTCTTTTACAGAGGATAAAGGAAGATAATTGTTTAAGCAGATAAAATTATACGAAAAGAATATAACAGTTTTCATAATATTGGTATATAATAATAATAATAATCCATAATCAATTATTATTAGTAAATAGTAATTGATTATGGATTATTCTCACCATAGATAAAAAAAAGTATTCACACTGTTAATAAATCAGATTTTTTAGGGAATTTTCATTTTTACCCCCATCGGATTATATATAAACACTAGCTGACCCGGCAAACGTTGTTTTGCTAAGTAAGTTATTTTATAAACAATTTCTAGAGTATCTAAAAAATTAATACTTTTTGTGTAAGGATGTGTTGTTTGAATTGCTATATACAATGAGATATTATAGAAACAATAAACCCCATTAGTTTGTATATATTTTATTAATACAACCAAACTGAAAGTTTTATACACTTTCTATAGAAAACATGGCATAATTCAATCCAAGTCTTTGTTGGTCTTTCGACTTATATAGTCATTACAAATTCCATTTAATCGATTAATGAATGCGTTTCAAATTTTTTGAAATTGTATATAAAAGACTAATTGCAATACCTAGATGAATAGATAAGTTTAGCACTAGATTAGCAAATTTTACAAAAGGTATAACCAGTAAAATCTGAAAGTAATAAATAATAAAAAATATAAAGTTATTGGTAAAAAAAATTCTGTTATATATTATCAAATTCAAAATTTGATAGTAATATTAAATACCAAAATGGGAGGGGAAGTTATATATGTTTTCACAAGATCTATTTTAATTATGTTGTTAATAATAATTGATTATGGATTATTTACATACTGTTATACTCTCTTTTATCTTATATGGTTAAATATTTAGGGAATTTTCATTTTTACCCTCATCGGATTATATACAAACATGTATATAGAAAACTAATTAAAATAACTAGATGAATAGATAAGTTTAGCACTAGTTTAGCAAATCTCACAAATATAACCAGTGAAATCTAAAAGTAATAAATAATAAAAAATATAAAGTTATTGGTCACAAGATATATTTTTATTGTGTTATAAATAATTGATTATGGATTATTCACACCCTGTTATACTTTTCTTTTATCTATGGTTATAGTATAAAACCAAAGTTTTTAGGGAATTTACATTTTTACCCCTATCGGATTATATACAAACATATATATAGAAGACTAATTAAAATAACTA